GCAGCAGCAGCAGCAGCAGCGTATTAACGTAGTTAGTTCTTCCATCGAATCTATTCAGGAGGTCAGGTGAGCCAGGTTGTCTGCGAGAGAGAGGGACGGGGGGGGGGCAAAGAAATGAACAAACAAAATTGCAAAATGTAGCTGCTGCTGTGAAGCCGAATGACCCTTACCTCGAATCGCGCTCGTGCCACCTTGATCCATTGGAGCAAACGCTTTTCCAGATCGTCGTGCACGGGCGTTGGTGTTCGAAGGGCGTCCAGGTTGAGTTCCGAATCGCGGGACTTGTGAAGCTCGGCCAACTTGTCGGGCTTCATCAACTTGCTGATGTACGACGTCGTGACGCCGTACGTGGCCGCCACCTTGCTCCTTTGTTTGCCAGCCTGGACGTCCCTAACTAGCTGTAGGCGCTGGCCCGTTGTGAGTTTGTTTTGGCCGTGACCTGATCCGGGCTTCGCCTTGCCTTTTTTGGCGGCGGCGGCGGCGCTCCTCCCCGCCCCCGCGGCCGCGTGAGGCTGTTTCCTCGCGCTGGCGCCCGCCCCCGTTGCAGGCGCGGTAGCCGCCCCCGCTGCAGGCGCGTTACCCGCCGCTGCGGTGGCCGCCGAAGGTGCAGGCCGTTTCCCTGTGCTACCGCTCGCCCTTGTGGTAGCCGCAGCAGGCCGTTTCCCCTTTCCTCGAACAGGCTGTGTACTGCTGCGTGGTACAACAAAGTGGAAATTCCAAAGTGTGGACACGAGGTTAGATTTGCTGTCTGCTGCAACCGAAAAAAATCACGGCCACCAGAATTATCTCGCAGGGAACGAAGCAATATGTGGGGAGAAGATGCAGCATTGTAGACAGTCCTGTACAACATACAATAGACAGATGTCCTGCAGCGTTTTCGTGTGATACACAACAGTTCTTTGTGGATAAGTGGGCGCTGCTGCTGTATGCGTGCTCCACAACAACAATAAATACTGTTTGTCGTGACACTACGGACGTGTTTTGTTTTTTTTTCCCCGTATGTAACGCTGATCAGTTTTTTTGTGAATGGTTTAGTGCTGCTGTAGATAGATGTATGTACAGGCTCCGTGGGTACAGTATTTTTTTTTTTTTGTTGTACATCACCTGTTGGTCTGCTCGTTGTCTTCGTCATCGTCTTCCACTTCCATGGGACTCCTGCTGCTGCCGGTCTTGTGTGTTCTCCTCTGGCAATCAGTGCACATTCTCTGCTGCCCGTAGCCTTCCTCTCCGATGCCCACACCACAAAACGCATGCATGGCTCGCCCGCAAGGGCACTGGTGAATTGCTGAGACCAGGCGAGACTTCATCTTGCATGTTGGCTCACCACACGTTGTCGTGTGGGCGGCAGACGGACCGTCAGCAGACGAAAGGAATCTATCCATATCCACGCAGTAGCGGTTGCAGCAGCAGCATCAGCAGTGGCAGACCGCTCTCTGTGCAGTTCTACAGGTGTGCTGCACGATTTTCTGGGGGCCCCCGCAGTATATAAAGTACACCCCCCCCTCATATTGTATATCTGCGGGGCACCATGGTTCGGATTTTTTTCGTCTTTATCGCGGGGAGTTGACTTAAGATGAGCGTCTTTAAAGCGGGGACGACTGTATTGTTGTTTTCTGGGCATACGTGTCTGCAACGGTGTTGGCTACGTGCCCTTGGATAATTTGATCTTCCTTCGCTCTGGGCCATCACGCCCGTGTCCATACCACATATCCACCAGCTATCACGCGGCCAGGCTGTCACAACATCACAACAGCTGTCACAACACCAGCGTGAACACATATTCCAGAGCCATCACGCTCCGGAACATCACAGATGCGGCGGGTTACCACACCCGCGGGCAGTTTAC